ACTTATTAAATACCTTTTCCTTTTAGAGGGGAGATAGAATATCAGTAATTACTTGTTAGATTCTAGAAAAAGTTGGTTCAATTCTGCAGAAACATTTATTGAACACTTACTACCATGTGCCATGTACTGTAATCTATACTGAGTATGAAAAGATAGTAATTTTGTTTTTAAGTAATTCATTAATCTTATTTACGTCTTTATGCACTTAATAAGCACCCTCCCTTTTTGGGAGCCAGGATTGAACTCAGGGGCACTCAACTACTGAGCCACATCCCCAGACCTATGATGTATTTTTTTAGTTTTTTAGTCAGGATCTCACTGATTTGCTTGCTATTGCTGAGGCTGGCTTTGAACTCACAGTCCTCCTGCCTCAGCCTCCCAATATGCTGGGATTACAGTTGTGTGCCACTCCACCCAGCTCCAGCCCTTATTTGTTTTGTACTTTTCTTTTGAAATTTTAAAGCAAGAGGCAGAAAATCTATTTTCTGAAAATTTATTCTTGACTTCTCTTTGTTTATTTTGTGTTACTAGAGATAGAAGCCCATCTGAGCTGTATCCCCAGAGTTTTGATTCTGTTTTGAGTAATGTTTGTTAAATTGCCCAGGTTGACCTTGAACTTGTGATCCTCTATTCTCAGCCTCCTGAGTAGCTGGAATTACAAATGTGCACCACCATCCCTGGCCTGTTTATTATTTTTTAATCATAGTTTTGGTATGACACAACTTGCATTCCTCAGAGTTCACTCATTTAAAATAAATAATTCACCAAGTTTTAGTATATTCTAAGTTTGCAACCATCAATATAGTCAATGTTAGAACATTTTTATAATCCCCCAAAGAAACTCCATACCTATTAATAGTTACTGCCCATTCTTCTCTCTCCTCATAGTCCCTGGCAACCACTAATCTGCTTTCTGACTCTATAGAATTTCCCAATTGTGGATATTTCATATAAGTGGAATCTTAAATTATTTGGTCTTTTGTGGCTAGTTTCTTTTAATAAGCATAACATTTTCAAGGCTTATCAATGAATCAGTACTTATTCCCTCCCCCCTTTTTCTTTTCTATTGGGGATTTAACCTGTTGGCGCTTAACCACTGAGCCACATCTCCCAGCCCTTTTTATTTATTTTGAGGCAGGGGCTCACTAAGTTGCTTAGGGCCTTGCTTTGAATTTACAATCTTCCTGCTCCAGTCTCCCAAGTCTCTGGAGCATGTGCCACCATGCCCAGCTTTCTTTGCCTTTTTTAAAAAAATATTTTTAGTTGTAGATGGACACAATATCTTTTTTTAATTTATTTTTATGTGATGCTGAGGATCGAACCCAGTGCCTCATACGTGCTAGGCAAGTGCTCTACTACTGAGCTACAACCCCAGCCACTTCTTTTCCTTTTGATGTCAAATAAGATTCCATTATATGGATATACCATATTGTAGTCATACACCATCAGTTGATAGAAATTTGGATTATTTCTATTGTCTTTTAAGTCTATTATGGATATTGTTGCTATGAATATTGTGTATACATTTTTATGTGAGTATATATTTTATTCTGGGATATATATATATATATATATATATATATATATATATATATGGAACCTTTTGAGGAAATGTCCAACAGTTGTCCAGAGAAGTTATACCATTTTATATTCCAAGAGTAGTGTGAGGTTTCTAATTTCTCTACATGCTAACCAGCAGTTGGAGTATAACCATCCTAATGCATATGAAGCAATATCTCTATGTGGCTTTGACTTCCAATTCTGTAATAACTAATGACATTGAGCATATTTTCATGTGCTCATTGACTATTTTTATCAGCAACTTTTCATCTTTCTGACCATTCTTTTGCAGTCACATTTCCCTCTGACCATAACCTGGAAAGGTTTCATGTCATTAGATTTTTGTCACCTGGATAATCCAAGACAATCTCAAGATATTTAACCTTAACCCCGTTTTTATAAGTCCTTTTTGTTAAATAAGGTCACATATTCAAATGTCCTGAGAATTAGAATGTGTCCATCTTTAGGAACCACATCTGTCTACCATACTGTATTAACAATGCTAATACTTCTTTTGATCCCAAAACATGAGGTTTTCTCATTTACTAGGATATTTTTAATTTCTTTCAATGATGTTTTATATTTTTGTGTATAAGTCTTATAATTATTTTGTTAACTTTATTTTAAGCATTATATTCTTTTTAAAGCAATCATAAAAGGAATTATATTCTTAATTTTGGATTATTCATTGATATAATATAGGAAATGTAATTTTTTTATGTTGATCTTATGTACTTGTTCTTGTTGAACTTGTTTATTTTTCTAATAGATTTTCTTGGAATTTTCTGTATTCATGACCATATTATCTATGAATATAGTTTTACTTTTTCCTTTTCAATCTGGATTCCTTATTTATTTTTCTGCCTAATGGTCTTGGTTAGAATTTCAAGTGTACTATTGAATTGAAGTGGTATAAGTTTTTTTGTTCCTGATGGTAGTAGAAGTATTCAGTCTCTTACCATTAAGTATGATACTTATTAATGCTCATTAATGTTCATTAATGCTCTTTATCATGTTGAAGAAGTTCCCTTCTCTTCCTAGTTTGTTGGGGGTTTTATCATGAAAGGTATTGGATTTTTGTCAAATGCTACTTCTACTTCTTTTGAAATAATGTGTTTTTAAATAACAGCATAATTGAGATGTAATTCACATCTTAAAATTCACCCTTTGAAGGTGTACGACTCAGTGGTTTTTAATATAGGCACAGAGTGTACAACCATCACCACTATGTAATTTGAGAACATTTTCATTACCCCAAAAAGAAACCCTGTACCTATTAGCTGTCACTCCCCATTACTCCCTCCTTCAGCCCCTGACAACCACTAATAACTTTCTATCTATGGATTTGCCCACTCTGGATATTCCTTATGAATAGACTCATGTAATATGTGACCTTTTGTGTTTGGTTCTTCTATTTAGTATATTATTTCCAAAATTTATCCATGTTGTAGCATTTATCAGTACTTAATTCTTCCGAGTGCAGGCCAGATCTTTTCAAGCTTCCTTAGTCTCTGGTTATCTCTGATAAATTAAGCCTAAATTTATGCTTTTTTTTTTTTTTGGTAGTAGGTATTGAACCCAAAGGTGCTTAACCACTGAGCCAAATCCCCAGCTGGTTTTATATTTTATATAGAGATAGCAAGTCCCTAAGCAACTCATTGAGATACTATCTCTATATAGTTGCTGAGGCTGGGCCTGAACTCCTGATCCTCCTGCCTCAGCCTCCCAAGCTGCTGGGATTACAGGCATGGACCACTGTGCCTGGCTAATTCATGCTGTCTTGAAGCTACTTGTCTCTTAATTACTTACCATCAATGCTTCATTTTTTTAAAAAAATATTTTTTTAGTTGTTGATGGACCTTTCTTTTCTTTTCTTTCTTTCATTTGCTGAGAATTGAACCTGGTGCCTCACATGTGCTAGACAAACTCTCTACCACTGAGCTACAACTCCAGCCTCCAATTCTTCATTTTTTTTAAAAAGAGAAACCTTCAGTTTGAACTTCTTCACATTGTTTTTCAAATAAATCATTTCTTTTGGGGCTAGCTTAGGAGCTCCCACTGGGCAAAATCTTTGAGCCAGTGCTTTGGATGCTACGCAGTGGTAATAAATAGCTAGTGGTTTTCTTGCATACCTCTTCACATATGGGACTTAGCCCTACAAGGAACTTGGGTAAAGTACTAGTGTGAAGGGCCATTGGGGCCCCAGGATTCTAAGCCCTCTGTGCCTGGGGTAGAACCACTGCCCTATGAGTGGAGGCTGGTTAAAGGAAGTGCCCCCACCGAACTCTTGGCTTTGCTTACTGAGAATTTTACACCCTGAGTTCTTTGTTGGAGGTGATAAGAGTGCTAGCTGCTTATCTCTCTCATTGAGATACTATATCTTCTGATTGAGAGCTGGGGCAGAGAGAGTCTAGTATTCTTGGCCACTCTTACCAGAAGTATATATTAAGGTAAGCAAAAGGATAGGGGAATGAAAGGAGTGGATTGTGGCTCCTATGCCATGGACTCACTTTTACATTACTGAGTTTCAGCAGATTTTCTTGAATAAATGGTTTTTTGTTTGCTCTTTGCCCTCAGGACAATTTCCAGAAGTTTCCAATTAAAAATATGTTTTGGGGCTGGGGTTGTGGCTCAGTGGTAGAGAACTTGTCTAGCATGTGTGAGGCACTGACTTTGATACCCAGCACCACATAAAAATAAACAAATAAAATGAAGGTATTGTGTCCATCTACAACCAAAGAAAATGTTTTTCCTGTTAAGGATATTTCACTGGGGAACAAACAGTTCCACAGGACTTCTGCTGCAGTTCTGGGAATGTATCCCTCTATTATGTCAAGTTTTTCAGTAAAGTAGAAATTGTGTTTTAAAAAATATTTTTAGTTGTAGATAGACAAAATACCTTTATTCAATTTATTTTTTATGTGCTACTGAGGATTGAATCTAGTACCTTAAACATGCTAGACAAGTGCTCTACCCCTAGAATTTTTTTTGAAGGTGCTAGAAGGTTGTCTATACTATTTTTAAATATGTGTCTACCTTTTTTTTGAACCTGGAATTGAGCTCAGGGGTACTCGACCACTGAGGGACATCCCCATCCCTATTTTGTATTTTTATATAGAGACAGGGTCTCACTGAGTTGCTTAGCACCTCACTTTTGCTGAGGCTGCCTTTGAACTCGAGATCCTCCTACCTCAAGCCTCTGAGCTGCTGGGATTATAGGTGTTTACCACCACGGCTGGCTTAAATCTGGCTTTCACTATTTTAAAATATTTATTTATTAGGTTTAGGGTTACATGCTTTTCCTTGCTTTATTTTTGTTTTTATTTCTCCATATAAATGAATCTTGTTATAATGGGGTTTGATTCTTTTTTTGGGGGGGGGGGTTGATTCTTGAGAAATAAGTTTAGTGACATTTTTCTGCCTGCTACTTTGATTTTTAGGTTTGACTCTACCAACTACTACTGTCACCACTACTGCTAATTCAAGCACCATGCTGTTTACTTCAGTATCAAATGCTTTTACATCTACAGCAGCTTCAGAGCTCTCATGTAAGTTATATTTATTCCAAAGATAATACTATTATTTCCCATGAGGCCACTTAATTTGCCAATATAAGCATTGGATCTATATGAATCTCCTGCATCTCAAAAAATATTATGTTTGAACCCATTTAAGATTGTTGATATCAATAGTAGCTTTGCTTAGTGCCTAATTGTCGTGGCTTTAGCTTAAGTTATTTTTAAGTTAGTATGTTTATTTTATCTTAAAATGTGGTAAATTTAAGCATCTGGTTCATTAACACTGAGGTTTTGAAGGAGCTTCTGGAAGTTATTAAGAGTAGGAGTTTTTCTAAGTGTGTCTAAAAGAAAGAAGTTCTTATTATCTAGGTGAAGAAGATAAAAAGTAAGGAAAAAGTTTTGGAGCCTTGCTATAGTTATATTCTTCTGAATAGTCTAGGTTGTGGTCCTTAATATTGTATCTGTCAGAAATGGAACACCACAAAGGACAACTTGTAGATTTGGGTCTGATTGACACTGTGGGATATCTCATGACCTCTCTCTCTAAAGAGGAATATTCAAGTGATTTGAGCTGAGAAGTGGGATGATAATTATCTTGTAACCCTAACTTCTTTTGAACATCTTTCATTAGTAGCATAATGGTAGGGCTAGGGTTGTGGATCAGTGGTAGAGTGCTCACCAGGCATGTGTGAGGCACTGGGTTCGGTCCTCAGCACCACATTAAATAAGTAAAATAAAGGTATTATGTCCATCTACAACTAAAAAATATTTTAAAAACTAGAGTAATAGTAAATGTTGAAAATATTGAATTCTATGTATATCTTAGGTACTTTCTTCTTAATATGCTATAAATTGACTATGCTTTTGAGGTGTCTTCTTCACAGTGGCATGGTTTCCATCACTAAACTTTGTTGTATTGTAATCGTAGCTGTAATATGGTCCCCCCAAAGCCCTGTGATAGCAAGATTGTTACTATTCCTGGGACTTAAACTTGCCAACACATTAAGCATGAAGTGCAGCATACAGTCATCATCCACTTGTGTAGTTGGCATAGGTAAACATTCATTAAAATTGTTGGTTACCATGTGAGTAGTGTTTTCTACCAAGTAGACTTCTATTTTGTGACATGGCTGCAATTCTGGAATCCTTCTGATATATGTAAGCAACATCTTTCTCAACAATAATAGATTTAATGAATGTGATATGATGAATTTGATCATGTCTGAGGCTTGAATTAATTCCAGTTTCAAAGACGGTAACTCTGACTTTTTTTAAATATATATTTTTAGTTGTTGATGGACATTTATTTATTTACAGAATGCCTTTATTTTTTTTTTAATGTAGTGCTGATAATTGAACCTGGGTCCTGCCTGTGCTAAGTGAGCACTCTACTGCTGAGCCACAATCCCAGCCCTATTTATGTATTTTTATGTGGTGCTGAGAATCAAACCCAGTACCTTATACATGCTAGGCGAGTACTCTACCACTGAGCCTCAGCCCCAGCCCTTACTCTGTTTTGATTGGCTTTTTGTTCCTGCCTGCCTCTAATGTCCTTGCTTACAAAATGAAAAGATATGTGGATCATACTATCTTTCAATTGCCTTTAATGAGTTATCCCTTATACATTTTAAAATTAACTTATTTATTTTAAGTATAAAATTCAGTGATTTTTAGTAAGTTTGCCAAATTGTGTACCCATCACTATGTTTAGTTTTAGAATATTCCATTCATCTCAATGAGATATCCCCAGCTATAGATAACAACTGATCTATTTTATATCTCCATAGATTTGTCTTTTCTGGAATTTCATATAAATGGATTTGACCATGATTTTTTGAAATTTAACCTACATTTTCTAAAGGACTCTTGAGGTGAAGAAGACTCTATAAATTCTTGTTTTGATTAAAAGGGCAGTTATTAATATTATGTTCTCTGCAGTTGGTGCTCCAAAATCTTTGGCTAGAATACTTGGTATAACTTTGGGATTTGGATTAAAATTCCCTGGAGCAGGTAGACCAGCTCCTACTCTTTCTAGTAAGATTTTAGAATTATTGGGATGTGTTGGGACACTCACTGGAATGTACTACATAACAAATAATAAGTAAATTATAGTACTAAAGCACCTGGAGCTGTCAAAGTGTGTTTTGACTGTCTTATCAGAATATCCAAATAGCATACCAACATAGATGATTGCCAAAGAGTAGAATGAGACAGCTGATATCAGTATAGTGCTTTCTTGGCCATCTGTTCATGAACAAAGAAATAATATAATTGATATCCTAATTTGTTCATTACACATAATACATGTATTGAATAATCATGCCATATCCAATAAGTATGCATAACATTATGTGTCAATTAAAAATAAATAATTAGGTCTGAGAATGTAGCTCAGTGGTAGAGCACTTGCCCAGCATGTGTTTGGTCCTGGGTTTGATCCCTAGCACTATGAAAAATAATTAAAATTTATATACTCTTTTGAGAGATGACCACACTCAAAATTGTTATCAAATTGAGGTCAACATTTTTTTTTAGAGAGAGAATTTTTAATATTTATTTTTTAGTTTTTGGTGGGCACAATATCTTTGTATGTGGTGCTGAGGATTGAACCTGGGCCGCCCGCATGCCAGGCGAGCGCGCTACCGCTTGAGCCACATCCCCAACCCAACATTTTTTAAACGTAAGAATTTTTATTGTTATTAATGTTTAACTTTTTGGACTAATAGAAATTATTTTTTTTCTAAATGTAAGTTTTTCACATCTATTGAGGTCAGCCCTCTCCTAAAATTGATCCCAAACCTGTTCTAAATTTTTTTTTCAGTAAGGACCTAGTTACATTGTAGATGAAAGAAAACTTGGTTAGTCATTGCTTGTAGCTATTGTGAGCTGGCCATTTAAACCTTCCATTTAAGTTAGATTTCATTTTAGGAAACTTTTTTTTTTTTAAGTTTACTTAGGGCTGGAATGAATCCTCAAACCTGGCATGAATTAAAGTCAACTCTTTTTAAGCCTAAAATAATTATTCCTAAACAGAGATGTATATCATCTCCTTATGTCCTCTTACAGGATTAGTACTTGCTTAGTTTCTACCAGATAGTAGCCTTACTGGCCAACCATTGAGAGTTATAAATGATGTGTTGTGATAACTTTACAAGTTACCATATTTTAAAAACATGTAATGCATACTCTCCTCCCAAAAATTACTGAAAAAAAGAACTTATTCTTTCATTTATGGAATGAGTCATTAAAACATGAATTGTAAAGACAAAAAATATGAATTGGAAAGCTCCTTGGTGACTCTTGTCTCAACCTATCTTTTATGTATCTAAGTATCAAATTCCTTCCTGCAAACTGATATTTTTGGGACTAACCCAATCCTCAGCACTATTCTATTCACACTGCCATATGTACCTACACTGCTCCTCATCAGGTATGTCTCAACTTGACACCCTCAGCTGAGAGTCCCCCCTCCCCACTTACCTTTTCTTCCCACCAAGTGTATTACTTTTTCAGAGATTTCATCTCACAAACCAGCATTGCACAACAGCTTTCAAGTGCCTGTATCTGTAGACTTACAGGTCTTTGGGATTACACTCTGGTCTAAGTATAATCATAGAGTTTTAAGAGAAGATTGTTCTTTTTTTTTTCCACTATCATAGCTTTATTCAAAACCACAGTTGCACAAAAGTAGTAACTTCAACGTTTTTTTTTTTTAGGTACTTTATATATTTTTTATTAATTCTCACAATAACCCAGTGAGATGAACAGTATTAACAGATTAGGTTTTGAGGGGCTAAACAACTCTCCCCATATCACAGAGCAGATAAGTGGTGGCCCAACATATAACAGTTTTAAAATAAATAACATGCGAAAAGGAAATGAGATAGATCATGTGCTATATTTATATTGCAAAGTGTACAGGACTTTGTCCAAGGATTCTGGTTTACTAAGTGAACCTAAATCATTTTCTCAATGTTTTTTATACTTTAATTTTATTTATTTTTATATGGTGCTGAGGATCGAACCCAGGGCCTCACACATTCTGGGCAAGGGCTCTACCGCTGAGTCACAACCTCAGCCCCTCAATTTTTTTTTTAACCTTGATTTTCTTGAGATGTGCTGGGGTTCAAGAAGAAAAGAAGCAGCTTTCTATTCCTCACAATCAAAACATGTACACATGGGTTTAGCAATATTTTTAGTTGCAGATGGACACAATACCTTTATTTTATTTTTTTATTTTTACATGTTGATAAGGATCAAACCCATTGTCTCACAAATTCAAGGCAAGTGCTCTACCACTGAGCTACAACCCCAGCTCAAGAAGCTTGTTGCCGGAGTCTGGCTGGGCACAATTCAGGAGCCACTTGTCAAAAGAAACTAACTTTATTTTTAGAACCACAAATGCCAAACAAAACAGCTCCTCAGGAAAAAAACCCCTCAGAGCCCAACTGCCACCACCAGCTTCCACAAGCCTCTCACCCACACAACCCTCACCACCTCCCACAATCCTCCTGCTCTTGAGGCCGATTGGCTGGGTCGCGTGGGCGGAGCCAAAGAAGTCCCCCAATGGGCAGCTCCGTGGTCTGAAAGGGCAGGGAAACAGTCCAATGAGCAGCTCCGTGGAGGAGCCAATCATCTAGATGTTGCTGGGGCCGCTGTGAGCCAATCATCAGCCGGCAGCTGGAAGTTTGCTGGGGCCCCTTTGGCTGTGGCTCTCAACAGCTTGTTGTTTTTTTTAATAGATAATTGAGAAATTTTATTTTATATGAAAACATTTACATTTGGAAAACTAATTTTTATTGGTTATTTTTAGTTATACATGACAGTAGAAGCCATTTTGATATATTTATGCAAACATGGAATATATCTTATTCTAATTAGGACCCCATTCTTGTGGATGTACACAATGTTGGAGATTCACTATAGTGTATTCATATGTGTACATAAGAAAATTATGTCAGATATATTCAAGTGCCTTTCCTTTCCCTATCCCTACTTCATTCTCTTCATTCCCTTTTGTCTAATTTACT